AACGTGGACAGGGGCCAGCTGCAGGTCATCACCAACGATCCTGAGCGTGTGTTTGTGGTACAGGACTTTACAGGACTCCAAACTTTAGAAAAGAACGTGCAGAGCATTCTTGAAGAGCTTCCGATACCTACAACAGAAATCCCTGGAATTCCAGGACCTGGTAAGACCGCTATTCACCCTGTAGACTTTTCTGGACAGGGCACAGATAGAATTTGTATAATGTGAAAATGATTCTTTCCTATGCTCAACATAATAACACCTTTTGATTCCCAACCGTTTAGTCACATTGCTTTAAAGAAGACTTTGAAGAAGATCTTGTTGAGCACAGGAAAGAATAGAACTAAATTTGAAATGAGATGAGGGTGTCTATCGCAAAAAAAAAAAATCAATGTTGTATGAAATACAATAAATGTGTTGTATGAAACCTTTCTTCTTGTATGGATGTAAAATTATGCCAAAGACTGATGAAACTAAAAAGGTAGAAGGAAGAGGGAAATGCAACGCTACTTCACAAAACACTACGCATCTTAGACATTATAGGTGCCACAATTGTTAACAACTGTGTTTTCTCTGGAATCTTTTCAGGAGCTAAAAAGCAGGCTGACATTGTGTTTTTGCTGGATGGCTCGATCAATCTCGGGAGGGATAACTTCCAAGAAGTTCTCCAGTTTGTCTACTCTGTGGTGGATGCCATTTATAGGGATGGTGACTCTATCCAGGTAGGACTGGCCCAGTACAACTCAGATGTCACTGATGAGTTTTTCCTCAAGGACTACTCCACCAAACCTCAGATTTTAGATGCCATCAATAAAGTCATCTACAAAGGTGGCCGAGTGGCAAACACTGGCTCAGCTATCAAGCATATCCAGGCGAAACACTTTGTGAAGGAGGCTGGCAGCCGAATTGACCAGAGGGTGCCCCAGATCGCCTTCATCGTCACAGGTGGGAGGTCCTCTGATGACGGGCCGAGTGCCTCCTTGGAAATCGCACAGAAAGGCGTCAAGGTGTTTGCGGTTGGCGTGAAAAACATCGACCTGAAGGACGTCAGCCTTCTGGCCAGCGAGAGCGCCACAAGTTTCAGAGCATCCACAGCCCAGGAGCTGTCAGAGCTGAATGAGCAGGTCCTGGTTACGCTGGAAGCCGCTATGGAGGAGAGATTGTGCCCAGTAACGACGGAAATTTTAAGAGGTAAGTGCAATCCTTCTGTAGTGTGCTCAGGTCATTCCCAAGGGTGGCTTTTAATATCCAACACGTTTTGACAGACTCATCCAGCCTGTTCTTGTTCTTATCCTATAGCCTGAGGTGCAGAATGGACTAAGACCTCCTCCATGAGCATGGTGGTAGGCTGCAAGCCTTTGGTAGGAGGCCATCGTGTTGGAAGAGTTTCGGATATGACAGACAGGCACTAAATCACTGACCTCCTACTACTGCATCAGAGGGGCTCCTTTAATTAGCTGCCTTTGGACTAAGTCTCACCACCTTCCACTCCAGATACATAGGCACATGATGCCAGTGGAACGTTGGCAGACCAACTTGTTCAGTGCCAAAACGAAAAGTGATGGTCCTTGTTTTGCCTGCTGCATTATAACAAGCTGATCGCACTCCTTGGCCATTCAGTCCCTGGCACACATGATGTGGCAGAAATCAAAACATCTCTTGCCAGATCATCCAGGGTGCCCACTTGATCTCGTGACAGGTATATGAGGAAAAGTCAGGGCACAAGTGGTTGTATTTCAAGGTGAAATTGCCTTAAGAAGGGATCTCGTGATTTGGCTCCTCCCGAAGCCAAGCAAGGCGAGCTGGGATGAGTAAGTGAGCTGGTGTTACTGTCGGACCAGACTCCCTGCAGCTGGTTTAACTTACTCCAGTACGGCAAATCCTACTCCCAGCACAACTGACTGTGGCTCAGCCCTCTGGCTTTTGAGCAGAGGCATCTCCCAAACCTCTGGAGAGCCATAGCAGCCCTGAGCTGAGCAGCACCTCCAGCCAGGATGAAAAACTGAGCGCAATGAAAAGCAAACTGGTCCTGACGGTCACCATAGGCGCTTCTCAAGTGCAGTACCAGTGTGATTCATATCAAAGACGTTTCAAACACCTCCCTGCTTGAAAGCCGATGTAGCTGCAGGAGGTGTTACATCCAGACAAAAGACAGCTGGCAGCCTGATTTGGGCAGTCTCCAGACCAATGGGTAGCTCGGACCTGCATGGTGGCTCTAAGCCCACGCTCGATATTCTTGCAGAAAGGAATGGCTTATCCCAGTGCTAAGCACAGGGAGAAAAAAAAATACACAGATTTTACCAGGTTATCATTGCTGTGATGAAAAGAAGTAGAAGGTGCTTATGTATCAAATGGTGACAGTTCTCGATGCAGAGACCGCCTTCTCTAATGACTAACAGAGTAATTAAGAAAGTCACTACTTGAAAACCAATGGTTATTTTGCTCAACAGTGACACTCTCCTCTCTTTCCGTGTTTCCCTTTCAGACTGTGACTTAGACGTGATACTCGGCTTTGATGTCACGGATGTTGGGCCTGGCCAAAGCATATTCAATTCCCAGAGAGGTCTGGAGTCCAGAGTTGAGTCTGTGCTGAACAGAATAACGCAGATGCAGAAGATCAGCTGCACTGGCAACCAGGCGCCCAACGTCAGGGTGGCCATCATGGCCCAGGCTCGGGGGGGACCCGTGGAGGGACTGGACTTCTCCGAGTACCAGCCTGAGCTCTTCGAGAGGTTTCAAGGCATGCGTACCCGCGGGCCCTATTTTCTCACGGCGGATACGCTGAGGTCCTACCTGAACAAATTCAGATCTGCACCCTCCGGCAGCACCAAGGTAAGTCAAAACCAAGGCCACCGGCACAGTGTTGGCAAGGACAGCTGACTCCCGATTTTAGCTGGCAAAGCAACTGTAATTAATAATAAATTTTAAAATAAATAAATAAATAAATAAATTTATTCAGAATAAATTTGGTCATTTAAGCCTTACTTGTTTCCTGCACTCTCCCTGCATTGTCAAGGTCCTATCCTGACGATTGCTGAGCATCACTGCAGCCAGTACCCATGAGCACTGTTGGGCTGCAAACTATTGCTTTCCAGACATTTCCCTGTTTGTGCTTTAGCAACAAAGACCTGCGTGATATGACGCACGGAAACATGGCACAGAAATGCGAAGCTCTGTGGCCTGGAAAGGGTGTAGCAACTCCCCATCTCCTCTCAGATGAAGCATCCCTTGGAAGAAGGGCCCTTCAGGTTGCACATTGATTATGTTTCATACCTGAAGTGTTCTGGGTCCTGATATCGATTTGTTTCTCTCCCAGGTCATAATCCATTTTACTGACGGTGCAGATGACTCGATAGATCAGCTGGAGGCTACTTCGTCTGAATTGCATATAGAAGGTAACTTTTTTACTCTTCAAGGCAGGGATTATAGTCCATGTTAACATGTGGCCCATTTTACCACCATTTCTCATTAATCCACCAGCTTCTGATGATAATTAATAAGGATTTCATGGTTTCTACATGCACTTTCTGTTATTTGTTTGCCTTCCTGTGATATTTAGCTGCCTGCTGGCACCTAAGTGTGTGGGTAACCTGCTGAATGTGCTTGAAGGTGGTTGTTCTCGATTGAATAAGCTCCATTTGCAATCGAAGAGGTGGACAACCACCCATCCTTACCGGAGAGGGTGTGGGAGGCTCTGCAGAACACCTTGCCCCATCACAAAGCTCCTTCTGCTTCCTTTCCCCTCAGGTGTCAACGCTCTCATCTTCGTCGGGCTGGACCGAGTGAGCAATTTCGACCAAGTGATGCAGTTGGAGTTTGGTCGTGGGTTCACCTACAACAGACCGCTCAGAGTTAATCTGCTGGACTTGGATTTCGAGCTGGCAGAGCAGCTCGTAAGTAACTTGGCACAGGCAGCACTGCCTTGTAATGCTGGAGGAAAGCCGATGGCTGGATCTCCTGTGGGGCTGAACTGTGGCTCAATTACACCCTCTTGGCTCTGGTCCTCTCCCCTCCCTACCTCACGTCAGCTCTTTCTACAGATGCCACAGCAAATAAAGTTAAGAGCAGATCATGGTGCTGCCTGGTCTCGTACCACTCCTAGAGAAGTCCCACTCCAGCCAAGGCTACAGCGCATGGGATTAGGTTGAACGGGATGGGATAAGATGCCACCAAAAGCTGCCGTGCCAAAAAGCCCACCCTCTCCTTATATTTATACTCTTTTTTTTTTTTTTTTAACCTTACAAATAATGCACTGTCATGCCTTGTCAGAGCTAAATCTCTTGCAGGATCACTGCTTTCTAGGTTTCCTTCTGCAAGTTGATACACTGACTGTATTCCAGACATGCTTTTAACAGATGAAGTTTTCCTTTCTTCCCCCTAGATTTTCTTCCCTCCCATGTATGTAGTCTCTCTTGAGCTCATGGAGTTAATGTGCTGTCAACTCCAGTATGTCTGGCTCCTCCCAACTCCACATCTGCGAGTAGCATCGTTAGCCTCGTTCTCCAGCAGGTTTAATAAGATTGGGCTCAACCACTGATCCCTGCAGTAACCTTGCTGGGCCCTTCTCTGCAAATCAAAGTGCAGCCGCTTGGGAGCGAACATTGGGTTTTGGGATAAGAGCTAGCCTTCAGCCCATCCCCACGTAATTCGGTTGCCTAGGAAAATCCTTTCGAAATGTAAATGTGCAAAGCTGGCAGGAAACATTTGCAGCCAGCAATGTACTTGGCAAAGAAAGGGATTTTTTTTCTTTCTAGAGGATGATGCAAAACCAAGCTGTGATTTCCCTGAATCCATATCTTTCTTTTTTTTCCTTCTTTTTCCTCTTTTGCTGTGTGCTCACAAATTGCTCTTAGCCTGCAGGTTGCTGGTGAGCTACTCACTGCAATGACTTTCTCGTGGCCTATTCCACAAACTGGATTTGTTTCTTTGGAGATGAGATTGTTCTCTTCAGTGACAAGTGCTGCTCTGGAGACTGATCTCCTACTACATGCCCTCTGCAACTTCTGCCCTGCTCAGTTCCCATTTAAACCCTTGTCTCTGATGTCTGTACACAAATGATAACGTTGACTGCTACTTCCTAACCGTGCAGCCTAACCAGTCTGCCAACAGGAGCTTCCTTCTCCTGCTGTTATGGCTGTCTCAAGGCAAAGAGAACCCAAAATGCTGCTGGACCAACTTTATGCTCAGCAAAGGAGCGATTGTGTAGACCTGAGGACTTGCAGGAGTTATGATGTTGGGGCTCTGCTGGGTTTCTAACACTTTCCCACTGTGTCATGTGCGTTTTGCTGCAGGACAACATCGCAGAGAGGACGTGCTGCAAGGTCCCATGCAAGTGCTCGGGGCAGAGAGGGGACAGAGGTGTGCCGGGCCCCATAGGACCAAAGGTGAGTTGCTTCATTTGAGGATGAAGGGTCCCTGTGCAAGGCCAGTGTCCACCACGGTGGTGATGGGTGGGTGACGTGCAGGCTGCACACGTTGTACTGAGTGATGCTAATGGAGGTCATCTCCACTTACCCCCCACTTTAAAACTAGCCCTGGGCCATGCGCAGCCCTTTAGAGCTGCTCTTCTCTTTCCTCACAGCCTCCGTGTTGTAAAACAACCAAGAGGGCAGTGATGAGTGGCTGGAAGGAGGGGGCGAAGTGTCTTGTGAAACAGTTTGGGGACCTCGAAGGGAGATGGTTTCTCTCACTAACTTGTTCCCACAGACAACCAAGCAGCTGATTTGTGCAAATGTAG